GGGTGGGGATGTGGGTGGGGATGGGGGTGGGGGTGTGGGGGGTGCTTTTGGTTTCACAGCCCTAAAGCTGCATTGCAGTGCTTTACATGGGGTATGGGGAAACGTACTTTGATTGCACGTGGTTTGAGGCCTTCCACCCGATGCTGCACAGTGGATGGGACCCGCATCTGGTGCAAGGCGGCCAAATGCCTCAACAAACTAGAAGGGGTCCTGACCAGGGCCCCATCCCAAACCACATCATCATGTTTCTGAGCCCAACAACGCCCAGGTGCAGAATCGTTGCCCATGCACGCACAGGCACTCGAACCGCAGATGTGCCCCTTCACAGCCCTTCCGCCCCATGCTCGCCTGCAGGCAACACCGCCGCCGAGGGCCCCCCCCTCCAGCGCTCCACCCCCAGCGATGCACGATAGCCCATTCCGATGGCGCTCCTCTCCCACCCCCCCGGCCCCCTGCCTGCCTTGCATGTCACCTCTGTTGCAGGGCACCGCGTTCCCGATGTGCGAGCGGGAGCGGCTGGGGCTGCGGGGCCTGCTGCCAGCCTGCCTCTCAGATATGGACACACAGGTGCGGGGCCGCCGAGGGGGCCAGTTGCTCTGCGTTGCACATATTGCAAATCCTTGGCCCGGCGCGCGCCCGCTTTCTCGGCCAGGCGCTGAGGCTATGGGCAACGGTGCTGCTGGCTTCTGTAAGCAAATGCATGCGTCTCAATTGCTCTATTGCATTTGCGTGTCGTGATGAACGCGTCAACGCGGCGGCGCGGCGGCGCCGGCACGGACGCGGGGCGCGCGGCGCGGCAGGCACGCCTGAGCACCGGGGGGTGTGAGGCCGCGCGTCAGGGCGCGCAGGGGCACGCAGGTCTCGGCTGGTGCCGTGCGCGTTGCATTGCCAGCTGGCGCCCACAGTTGCGGCGCGCGCGCGGCAAGCTTCCCTCACTTCTCATTGTTTCCCACCAACGCTCAACACCACACCACGCGCCGACGCCGTCTCTGGATCCTGTTTCGAGATCGCCGGCCCCTGCGCCGCTTTCCCCACTTCGACTTCTGAGGGCCTGAAAATCGCATCTTGCTAAAACCTGCTGGTGGCTGCCCATCAATCTTCCGCAGAAGGACCGGGTGATGCGCGATTTCTACTACGGCCTCAACCAGATCCCACCGGAAGACATAGGGTCGGGGATCACGCGGGAGATGGAGAGGCGGTGGAGGGTGCTATCGGGCCTGCAGGTGGGGGAAGGACGCACGCAGCAAGGGCGCATGCACAGGTGTGATTTTTAATGATTGTTTACCTCGTGCGTGTGTGTGTGTGTGTGTGTGTTTGTGTGTGTGTGTGTGTG